GTCATTAGAAAAGTGTAGGATACTAAATTAATGAGTGCATACATAAAATAAATGATGCTAAAGAGCAATGCAAGTTAAAAAACCGGTGTATAGGGATACATTACTAGGTAATGAATTAAAGTTTGTTTGGCTAAATTTCCAGAAATATTATAGCAAAATAGAATATGGCGGTCATCCAGCAGTAAAGAAAATATTACGTAAGCAGACCGGAGCATTCCAGGCACGCCCTACGCTGCGGGAATTGACTACAAGGACATCGGGTGAAGCTATTCGTATTAAACGCCAATGAAAATCGGGCCTGCCAGATGCTTTCATCTTCTTTAAAGCTGAATCTGCAGATTCAGCCGATTCAGAAGACGCGGGGGGGAGGAAAAGGGAGCTTTCGGAACTGCCACCATCATCGTTGTCACTGTCATCAACGTCGCCGTGATTTCCAATTTCATCATCCCCATCCAGAAGGCGAGAGAGACGGAAAACAGCTTTAATGACACGATGAGGCACAGAAACATTCGCAATATATGGATCAGGAATGGCAAGAATGTCTTTAACGCTGGGCCCCAAACCCTGGGAAATAAAAAATTATGGAAAAAAAATAATTTAAAGATGCCTAGTAAGCAAAATACAAAATTAACGCTAGGTAGTGGCGATAAAGCCTAGATAAAAAATGAAAGTAGACTAAGGAAAGTGAAAGTCCCAAATATGATCTTGCATATGAGTTCAAAACAAGAATAAATCAAATCAAAAGCGATTAAAGATTGCCTTGTGTGTGGTTTAAGTGTGAGTTTAGATAATGCAAATATGCTAAGCTTTTGATCAACTGCATAAGGTGTGTCTTGAGAAGGTCGATTCGACCACGGCGTAACTTCCGTCGCTAAAAATGAGAAAAAAATATTGATTTCCGGCTCCTCGCGGGCCGGTGAAATGAGAGTAATAAAAAACAGAAAAATCTCGTAAAGCTTGTCAGATACATCCCTAATATAATTTTATTCATTCTCACTGAAACATTAGACAGGACAAGGTCAACACACATTTAGGAAAAAAAACTTTTCTGACTTTTTATAATTCTGTATCTAATTAGTCTGTCCAAAAAGCACGAACCGTTCACATTCTTGGATTACGTAGCTAATAACGATCTTTTAGGGTAGATAGCTAAATTAAATTAAATGTGAAAAACAAGCCTACTATTCAATTAATCGTAGGAAGTTGTCCCGAGTGGAACAAGGGCCAATCGAAAGTGGTAAATATCTGCGTCAAGCTCAAGAAAGAAACAATGACTAATGGAAAAACGTAGGTCTCCCCATTATTGGGCCCCAATGCTACTCTTTCATCGCCTAATTATAGATGGAGAAATTACAAACTGAAAGGCCTTCATGTCTAGGTCTTCTGAACCTATCTCTAGTGACTCAAATGCAAAATAAAATTAACCAGTCTCACTGCTGTGCCTAACTGGCGAAGTTAACACTGTAATCCATTAAATACATCAAACTAATAAAATTGTCAAATTTGTCTTTCCCATGTTACCAAATTCCAAAGTAATCGTCCGTGATACCGACTCATCAGCTAAATGAATCCCTTAATAGATTGTGGTTGGCATACTTTTAATTTAGTTTTAAAAGCAGAGTGAAAGGGATTCATAAACTGCCCCATAGGAAACCAAAGGAAGATTACCTTGGAAAGGTGGCTGCTTGAATATGCGAAAAAGTCTTCGGCTCAGTGTTTTTTAAGGACTTGCTCGCGCAATTTGAAAGTCACAACTCGAAAATAATTCTTCTTCGGCTTCCGGTCGGGCCAATCTATGAAGCTCTTCCTCCCAACTTTTCGAACCAAACGTAAGGTACGCCAACATCTATGAAACCATATTTCATCCGAAGTATTTAATGCTTGGCATCCGACAATCCAATCCTCATCATGAAGGTGATACGATATAGTCTTAAACAGCGTATCGGCAAGATAGTAGGAAACATCAAGGTGAGGAGAAAAATCGTAGTTTTCAAGCAGAGAAAGAGGATGAAAGTGAGAAGAGATGTGATAATAAGGTAGGGCATGGATCAATGGCTTGAACTGCATTTGTCACTGATAAGTTGTCTCGGTGGTGTTGAAGGTCCTAACATATACATAAATGCAATGGCCACGGACTTAGCATTAAGGCATTTTTCAAAGTCCTCGAGTAAGTATGACTAAGTATGATTATACACCATCCTGGTATCTATTCATTTTCTAAGTCACGACCGTAAAATCTAATTGAACTGATATATGCTCACTTGACCGATCGCGAAAATCCTAAACGGGAGTACACTGCCCCAGGGATCAACCAGAAGAAGAGGGAGGGCAAGATCGCTGTCAGCAGGCAGAGTGGCCAGAACACGACCAACACAGATGCAACCATGGTTGGGGCCATCCTAGACAAAATAGAGAACAGCAAATGGAAATAAGACAGGGAGGTTATAGGGAGCTTATATGAACAATTTAAACGGAGAAATAGATTACGATTATTCTTTAATCGTCACTTCATGCAATGGATACCAATGGGTTGCGATGGGAAAATGGTAGCTGATTCAAGAAATATAAAAACATCCAAAACGATGTACATAGTATATAAATAGAGATAAATTTTACTACTGTGAAAATTGCTACACACCTGGAGCTGAGTGAAAGACATCAACTGCAAATGGGGGAGGCTATTCAGATCAAGTGACTGTAGCAAAGTTGCTAGGCTTTTTCTGGTCCCTGTTTTGAGTGCTGGCCGAGTCGAACCGCGATGTTGACGACCACCTGCCAGAACACGTCTTTGGTCATGCTGTCTGGATGGTTGGGTGGAAATCGATTTGTTAGACTGCGAGTCCAAAGAACAACTACTCAGCTGTACTTTGGCAGCAGCCATAGTACCCTGAATAAACAAAAGAATAAAAATATGCAAGGCGCATGAAGGGCACAAATAAGCCAAAAGTAACAAGACAATGCTATAAATATGTTGGAGTACCTTTCATTGCGTTTGAAGAGGCGAGTGGAAGGTGGTTGTAAGTTGGTTCCACCGGAAGCTGTAAGGGGTTGCCTTGGAGCTGTGGTTGTAGATTTGTGCGAATAGGTCCTCGGCGCACCGCCCTACAACCCCGATAAATACTTGCTGAGCTTTCGTCTGTCATGTGACGGACATCGTCAGAGCAGAACACCATACTTAACGATAATTCACCAAAAACACGAAGGAAAGAAAGGTGGCCGGCTTGAAACCTACTACTTCCTTATATTCCAACATGGTCCATTTATGCTTCTCACGTTTTGGTTGGATGTCCTATGCTTTGCCTCTATATTTGCTCATAAGTTAAGTTTAGTGGCTACGGATGACATGTGAAGTGGCTACAAATGAAGCGTGAAATGGATGCAATTGAAACTAAACAGCCGCATCCTCCCCTAAAACACTTATGCCTTTGATCCTGCAATGTTACCGCATGTGATTGCGTACCATTACGCACGTGTTGCGTGAGTACATTGCTCTTGAAATGAGTGTGATGCGAGAGTCAAAACTAAATTCCAGGCTAACCAAGCCTCCTCCTCCTGCCCGATACTACTTCTCATTCGCCCCCCCTCTCTCTCAAAACTTATCCAACAGCCACAAGTAGTTTCCGCTTAACTTCCTACACTCATTCCTGTGCGAGCCATGCGTGCGGCCAATTCCGATTTTTGGACCCACATACCATTGCAGGCTGTTTTGTGTTCAGATGACCTCTTATTTATGGACCTACAGGTATTTACTACATAGGCACTACCACATGAACACATCTTGTAACAGCCCGATATGGAGAGAGGATCACAAGGCAATGCCAAGGAAAGTGCTATTTTCTCTATTCGCCTATTTTCGACTGATTACACGATGGCAGCATAAGGATAGTGGCAGAGAGTTCTAACTTTTCATCTATCCTCAAATATGTTTTTCCCTTCATCCTATTTGCCAATATTCTAAAATAATTGTCAACCAGCCCTCCTGGATAAGTATGTTCAACCAGAATTATCCTTAGTCTCCTCAATTCCTAACCCCGATGTTTAACATATGCCAGATTCAGGCCCTTTATTATCATAGACTTTATAACTCGTATTGCAGCCCCATAAGTGTGGTGGGAAAAGAAATACAAAAGGAACCTGCATATGTGGGTTTCATATACACATATCGATCTAATCTGGTCCCCTCTATGCTAATTAGAACATCAAGAAAACGTAAGCCACCTTCCTTTTCTAACTCGATGGTAAATTTCGTCTTCCCATCGATCCTGTTTATCTAACTAAGAAAATTTTCCAGGTTCTCTTTGCCGCATTTCCAAATAGCAAAGTAGTCGTCCGTATAGCGAACTAATAATTTAGGGACAAAAAGTGCTTCCTGAATTAAGAGTTTCTCAAATTGAGACGTAATTATTTGCTAAAATTGGTGAAAAACACGATCCCATGCCTAAAACTCGTGTTTGTTCGTACAGTTTACCACTATAGGTAAAATATGTAGAGTGCATCTCTAGATTAGTCGGTATCATTATAACGACTTATTAACTTCGTGCTCATTAAAGTATCCGCGTGGTGGTCTAGTGTGGATTGCAGGTCCTATATGGCATCGTCTACAGGAATGTTAGTGAACATAGACTCAACATCAAAAATTACCAGCTAATCCCCGCTTTCTATCTCATGCTCGTCGACCAAGCAAACGAAATCATAATAATTCTTAACTGAAACCTTCCGCGTCTCAAGATTTGCTTTACCTGGATCGTGATGCTTTGTGCATCATATTTACCTTATTCTTCACAATAACTATAAGTGGCACTCCAGATTTATGTATTTTGGACACATGAATATATTTTGAGGGTCGGCACGCAAGAGACTTGGGAATAAGAAAGTCATATACTTAGCATTAGGGATAGAAAAGCGAAAGAAATGGTGGTGACCATTGAAAGTTTGGTATTAGTAGATAAGTTTTATGATAGACGTACTCCATGAAGTAAAGGCTTGACTACGAAATTTACTTGGTGTACATGCGGCACAGTAACAAGGGAATCTGCAGTGTAAAGTTAGGTTGCCATGACAACCGACAGTCCAGACTTTAGGTCTTGCTCAGTGGGGCTGGCTATCAAAGGCTTGAAGCAGAGTGTAGAACATAACACCTCGGGTAGCACGGATACGGTGGCAGCAATTGAGTGAAATCACTGAACCAGGCCGATGAGGGATCGGATCTTACGGATCCTGGATCAACACTCCAAACACAGTGGGGGGATGAAGGAACCAGGGGGGATTGTGAATAGGTCTCACTTAGTTTAACCCAAAGTACACATCCCAACTAAGTTTGGATAAAAAAGTAAGAAATTTGGATATTGAAGGGACGATACGAGGATATAGGATAGGTGAATACCCCAGGACAGAAGGAGAGATACCACAACTGATTAGCAGGCAATTGTTAAAAGGATCAACTTCACTTGTCTCTTCGACGAGTTGTAGTTTGTTGCTATGACTGCAAGATTAACTGAATATGCCGGCAAAACGTCTAGGAATGCACCAAGTCTACGGTCAAATTCTGGGAATTATCGTGCATACTATGGACTCTGGACAAGTTGCGTTTCTCTAGGTCTTTCTACCAATATGACCAAGTAGAGAAAACAACGTCAAATAACTACTATAAAATATAGCCTGTTGAGATAGAAGAGTGCAACAAAGCGCAACTAAGACAAGAACATTCATTGATAGGAGTATGACTCAAATCGGTTACAATAAAATGCTCCAATAGTTTTTATTATTTCATCATAGCCAGAAAGTAGGTCCCACTTCGCCAGCATAATTAGGGATAATAATTATCAATGGACAAGAACGAGGCCATAATTGTTTTT